CACACCCAAAGTAAGGAAAGAATCTCAGGGGGAGTCTGATCATTCCTTTCAATTTCTGAATGCACGTTTCATCCGAAACACATGAATGTTGATGCCAGCTTATTAATTTGACAACTCACGTGTCCCTCCCATTTACCACTATGCCAAACTTTCAAGTCTTTCTTTTGAAGGCCAAAGAAAGTTCTGCTAGAATCCATTGACTGGTTATTCCTGATAATTAGAAAGTCTTTTATGTTAGTACAACAACATAAAAGGGTTTTAAACTGGACAATTATAGGGTGAAGAATTCTTTCTCAGCCATAAGCATATTACACGAGGTGGGAAGGAGGGGAGGGGAGGGGAGAAGACAAGGGCTGGGTGTTTCTCATGTGACAATAACATGAGGCATGCAAAGGTTTCGGTCCGTGTCATTGAAACAGTTGACCATGAAGGTTAAGTCTCAGCCAAGTTCAGTGTTGTGGGGCATAACAGCGTTGAAAGAGGCACTTCTGCAACCTGTGAATGCACCATTCCATTCTTGAGGTCCCCCTGCAGAACCGGAATCATGTTCAAAGGCTAACAGAGTGCAAAAAGCACTAAATAATGGATGTGGTAATGGGCTGCTTAGCAGACATCTTCCTCCCCACTTAGGAATGTGCATTCCTGACAGCCCCAATGAGGCCAGGATGTTTGTCTAAAGAACATGAGCAGCATTATCAGCTGGCTGGAAGGAAGACTACCTGCATGTCCCCTGTTTCTTTGAGAAGAAAAATGATGATAAATTCATCAGTTCTGAGCGCTGCTAAGTAGAGGCAGTGAAAACTCAGGAGCCCAAAGGACCTCAATGTTATGCCCAGAAGGTACTTTGCCTGCCCACGTCTTGTTCAGCCTTCAAGGCTCTGCCCAAGGGATACCGCCTTCCTCTCTGTCTCGCTAGCCAACTAACATTCCCTATCAGCCAGCATCTGTGCTACTGGAATTCAAAGACCTCAGCATAAAAATAAAGCCTGCATGCAAATCTTCCAGCTGCCTTGACTAGGAAGCGAAGAAATGTGTATTTTCGGGAATGAGTGGGATTAATCCTTCTCTTGGTTCCGAGTCCTAGAAAGGGTGGAGGGGAGGGTAGCATGACCCTAAGAACAAATCTGCTAGAAGAAGGGAACATTATAGGTCCGGATTAAAACAACCCAACAAAAGCATCCTAATATGTTATTTATAAACTGGAACAAGAAAGGTACAAGTACAGTTTAGCACCCCAAGGTTATTGGGCCTGGTGGGGTGAGCTAGCACACGGTGCATGAAGATGGGGGAGACTGAAGGCCTGGTGGGGTGAGCTAGCGCACGGGTGCGTGAAGGTGGGGGGAGACTGAAGGCCTGGTGGGGTGAGCTAGCGCACGGGTGCATGAAGGTCGGGGAGACTGAAGGCCTGGTGGGGTGAGCTAGAGCACGGGTGCATGAAGGTGGGGGAGAGTGAAGGCCTGGTGGGGTGAGCTAGCTCATGGGTGCATGAAGATGGGGGAGAGTGAAGGCCTGGTGGGGTAAGCTAGCGCATGGGTGCATGAAGGTGGGGGAGAGTGAAGACAGGGAATCGGCTTTCTCTCTGGACCTGCAGCCCAGCTCAAGACAAAACTGTGCTCCCATAAGCTGAAGCACTGAGGTGGGTAAGACCCATAAGAAATGCAGCGGATTCTAACTTCTGTGCCAAACTCTAGAATCCAATACACCAAAAGTGACACCTCAGTGAGAATATCTCTGGTGACAATGAGCCAGGGACTGAGCTCTACGACAGAGGTTTTGGGGCTGCAATCAAGGATCCTATTGGCTTCAAGGCCCACAAAAATTTACATGGGCACATGTGTAGGTTTTTTTGTTTTGTTTTGTTTTTTCATGGGGAAAGAGTATACCATCAAAAGCTCAAAGAGATCCCAAGTTCCCAGAGGAGTTACTCTAGAGAGTAATGATTAAAAGTGATTCCTGTCCTCAAGGAGCTCACAGAAAAGTAGGAGAAACAAATAGACTAGAACAGCTCATGCTGTTGAATCCCTACTCTGCACCAAGCTCTGTGCTGATTCACATCCTTCAGCTCATTTAGTCCTTAACACAAACACTCTAAGGCAGGTATTGTCTGTCATTAACCCCAAAGCCAAGGCCTTTAAGAAAATCAAAGTCATCAAAAGGAATGAAATCTTGCCATTTGCAATGACATGGATGGCACTGGAGGGTATTATGCTGAGCGAAATAAGTCAATCAAAGAAAGACACGTATCATATGACCTCACTGATATGAGGAATTCTTAATCTCAGGAAATAAACAGGGTTGCTGGAGTGGTGGGGGGGTGTGGGAGGGATGGGGTGGCTGGGTGATAGGCACTGGGGAAGGTATGTGCTATGGTGAGCGCTGTGAATTGTGCAAGACTGTTGAATCAGAGACCTGTACCTCTGAAATAATAATACACTATATGTTAAAAAAAAAAAAAAGAAGATAGCAGGAGGGGAAGAATGAAGGGGAGTAAGTTGGAGGGGGAGATGAACCACGAGAGAAGATGGACTCTGAATAACAAACTGAGGGTTCTAGAGGGGAGGGGGGTGGGGGGATGGGTTAGCCTGGTGATGGGTATTAAAGAGGGCACGTTCTGCGTGGAGCACTGGGTGTTATGCACAAACAATGAATCATGGAACACTACATCAAAAACTGATGATGTAATGTATGGTGATTAACATAACATAATAAAATTAAAAAAAAAAAAGAAAATCAAAGTCAAGGGCTCACATGGATTCATTAAGAAAAAGTAACAATGCATTGTTAACACTGCAAAGAGGGGCACAGTGGTCTCCGGGGGCGGGGTGGGGGAGGATTACTTTGGGGTAAAGAAGGCTTCCCAGAGGAGGTGTGCAATTACCTAGCATACCTGCAATCCCCTGCTCGGTGGGAACTGTTGGCTCGTGTGTTGCTTGTAATGGCAACACACAGAAATGTCCTCATGTCATCTAATCCCTATGCTCTGTTAGGGGTTTTACATAAATGTCTCCTTTAGTCCTCCAAACGAAGCTACAAGGAGGCATTATTTTCTCGTTAAGATGATGACACTGAGGTTTAGAGATGAAAAAAGATACTCAAGGACCCTCAGTAGGTGGCCAGGATGAGAGCATACCCAGGTCTGATGCTGAAAGATCAGGCCATTTCTTCTGGGGCTGATTTGTGGTTTTCCCCAGTGACTGCCCCATGCCAAGTCACTTACTGGGCTCTGGGCAGAGCTGGACCCAAGGATGAAGAAACCCAGGGGTATCTAGTGCAACAGACCACAGTGCAGTCTCCCTTCTGGTGGGAAACCTGTGGAAGGCCCCAGGCGGCTTGGAAGCTGCTGAGGATGCACTAATTTGGTTGTCTTTGGTTTACTTGTCTTTCTAGCTAAGGAGGTGGTGAAGGAGCAAACAGCAGGATCACAGCAGGGATTTTCAGAGCACGGAGGAGTCCTAGGGAACATGCACTCATCAGAGAGGCAGGTCTATAGGGGCAAGCCTGGAGGACAGGAAGGTCCCCGAACAGTGAGGGATGTGGGATATTTAAAGTACCTCTGGGAGGTTTAGGCAAGTGGGATCAAGCTTCCAATGCATATGCTATCTTCTCCTCAAAACCATTTAGTGAAGTTGGGTTCAGCTCCTCTTCTTGGTGGATGAGAAGAGTGAGGCACAGAGAAACAAGGGAACTTAGGGGAAGTCCCACAGGTTGTTAAGAGCAGCAGTTGAGATTCCAAACCAAGCAACTGCCTCTCTCTCCCTTAGGGCTGGTGCTTTGGACTTGCGACCTCTCTTTGGCTTTTAAAAAGTTGACACTGTTCATGGAAAAGCCAGCCTCAGCCCAGATGCTTCTAGGACTCTGGAAACAGAGGGCTGGGAGCTCCTGCAGGCCAGTCTGGAAACGGAGGGCTGGGAGCTCCTGCGGCCAGGAGTTCAGGCAGCCCAGATAGTTCCCAAGCAAAACTTTAGCACATTTACTTAATGCCTATTTCAGAGTCAGAAAAACAGGGCATTCCCTTTAAAAGAAAGTACCAGGGATTTTCATCAATTCTTTCTACAGGGCAGAGTCATTTGCATGTTTATGAAACCCTCCTAGTATGGCTGTATCATGCCTGGCTTCCACATGCCAGGCCCTGGGCTTGCTTCTGGTAGTTCAGCAACCTGAGGAAGCTCCTAGAAGTAATGGGCAAAGAGAAGAGTTTCAACACTGTGTGCTAAGTGCCGTGAAAATAGAGGAATGATAAGGAGTGGAGCACAGAGGGAGGGGTGAGACCAGAAAGTCTCCCTGAGCCCCCAGAGCCTGAAGCTAAGCTGGGATGTCCGGGGAGGACAAGTCTCCTTCAGGAGGCTGCAGAGTTCAGTAGAGCCAGACCAGGGGGAGGAAGACCAGAGTACGGGCTGAGGCTGGCATCTGGTGTTGTGTCTGTCAGGCTAAGGAGCTTGGATTTCTTTCTTTCTTTCTTTCTTTTTTTTTTTTTTTTTTTGAGCTATTAAGCATGGAGACGGTATGGCCAGACTGGTTAATAAATTCACAAAAACCAAGGCGGCAAACGGAGCAGCATGCTTCCTCACGTTATCTAACTCTGTTGGGGGCAAGTGAGGTAATTTAGACACAAACTGAATTGTAGGGAGCTGTGCGATGGGAGCTGAAGCAAACGAAAATATGGAGAACAGACCAGTGTCTCAGTGACAAGGAGGCTTGGCAAATGCAAAGGCCTCAGGGAGAAAAAGCGCTTTTTCTCCAAGGGCACCACGGTGCATGTTCTCTACTACGTTGTAGACTCAAGTTTTGGAGAAGGACCCTGCATTCGGATATGCTTTTTCATGAAATCTAACACACATTGGCTTCTGGAAGCAGTATTTAGGTGGGGTATGGCAGTTGCAAGATAGTTCTACCAGTTGTGACACTTATATCCAGAAGAGGGGTTCCTTTCCTCAGGTGGTAGCCAGTTTCATATGAATGGGGGTTACAGGAACCTGGCAGAAGAAAGAAGGTATACTTACACTTACAGGTTGACTTTTTGGCACATCATAAACACCTTCCTTCTTTTGGCTGGTGGGAACCTGTGGAAAAACCAAATTCGACACAGTCAAAACACTTTGCTATTCCACTTCCAAAGAACAAAGCAACCCTACTTCAACTCCAGGCTGGCTGAGTGTGGAGGAGAACGGCCCCCGAGGCCTGAGGGTCCCAAATCAAAGGCAGGCCAGGCCCCTTCCCTGGGGACAGCTGGATGAGGGAGGAGTGTGTGAATCGCTTCATTAATGTTTGCAGGGGGTCTCTGCCACTGGGATCCTCACAGAATCACAGAACAGGAGGCTGCAGAGACGTCTCCTCAGGGGTCATGCGGTGGATAAAAATCATCCTCGTTTCACCAAAGACAGAAATGGGACCCAGAAAGGTGCTCTGACTTGTGCAAAGTGATTAAAGTTAGTTTGTGGCTGAGCTTAAGCTGCTTGGGGCACAGACTGAGATCCAGGTTATTTAAAATATAGCAAAATATCAAGGTCTCAGCATCAAGAATGGCTTCTGCTGGGATCACAGACAGGCCATGTGATATTCACCAAAAGGTTTTTTCCAAGAAAAGGGGTCATCAATGGCATGAAAAGCATAAGACAAGAATCCGGGAAATCTCAATTGTTTTTTAATATGTATCTGTATTTTCTTCCCTCCCTCTCTCCTCTGACTCATCCATCTGGTCTTACTGGGCCACTTGGTAACTGTTACCACCCTGTGCAGGTCACTTAGCTCCTCTGAGCTTCACCATTAGAAAATGGGTGCTATTGGCTCTGCTTCTCGTTTGGGTTATTGTGGGGATCAAAGGAGAAAAGAGATGATAAATAAAAACTATTAGGACCTATAATACTGTAAAGCGTTAGAATGATGGCTTCTTTTACCACTGATACATTATATGAGTTAAGTATAAGAACGTATTCTGTAACACTAACAACAGTAGACATGTTGAATACTTTTCTAATGAGTCAATCAAGGGCTTTACACTGAAACACTCTGGCTTGAAAGCAATCTCTTGTGCTTCCCAACACCCAGCACAGGACAGCTCACACCACCATCGGACGCCTCAGCCTGTAGTGACTTTACAATCGTCTGCTAATCTGTGTTCCTTTTCATCAGACTGGGAGCTCCTCAAGAGCAGACACGGTGCCTGCAGCTCAGTAGGCATTTGGTAAATGTCTTCTGGGTAAATGTAGCATCAGAAATGTGGGCAACAGTGAAGAAACAGAAAAAGTGTCTTTTAGGCTTGGACCAGCCAACTCTACCACATGAAGAAGGAGGAACTTCAGCTCATTCCTCGAGTCCCCTTTGCTGTTTCCACTCTCATCAGCTTAACTTCAAATCCTTATAATAATCCTAAGAACTCGGTATTAGAATCTTCACTTTACATAGTAGAAAGTGAGGCTCAGAGATGTTAGGGAAACTCTTCCAAAGCTTCCAAGCTAGTTAAGTGATGAGATTAGAACCCAGCTCTTTCTGGCTACCAGATATGGCACGAACTCACATTGACAGGGTGCTTTCTGTCTGCCAGGCACTGTTCTGAATGTTTGTGTTTACATGTATTCTCATGTAATCCTTGGGACCAGTCAGTTGGGTAAGGATGACGACTGTGTTGCAGAGGAGGAAAAGGAAGCGGGCGGGGGGGGGGGGGTCCTGCCAGTGAGCAGGGCTGCCAGAGTTGGAGTCCTGGCACTTGGCCTTTTACCTACGACACTATACAGACAGTCCCCACTGTCCCCATAGCTGTTCTCACTGCTTCTTTTTCTTGGACATTCTCCACTCTCAGAAGGTTGTGCATATTCTTGCAGAAAAGAGGACTGTGAGGGAGCATGGAGATGCAGAAAATGCACTTTCTGAGCTGCTCTTGCACACCTCAGCTCTCAGGTAGCCAATGAAGAAGGTAATTTCTTTGCTCCTGGTAACCAGCCTCCATCTAAAAGAAATCCTCTAAGAATGCCTACCAAGCCCTCGTTAACAAGGGCCAATAAATTACCAACCCACACTTGTATTTTTACTAGCTCACCCTTTCCTGCGCAAAATGAACAGCATTTCTGTTCCCCGTAATTCACGGCTCACTATGGGCACTTAGCAAGTTGAACCGCGGCTGACTCTCAATTATCCCTACAAATGGAGGAGAAGCGGCAGGATGGATAAACCCAAACGGTGCATAATTGAAAAAGCTTTGCTGCTTGGCTCTCCCATGGGTGAGATATCAATCTGCCTGTTTGTCCTTTAAGATTTATGTCGGCTGGGAAGTCTTCTCGGGAGCCTTGCCTGGCTCTCTACCTGGTTGGAGCCTTCCTCTATACCCTCTGTAACCTCTGGTACAGCCTTCCACTAAAAAATCAAAGTGGCCAAGAACCTATTATGCATCGTGCTCTGTGTTTTGCCCGGGTCAATGATGGCGAACAAGCTGGACATGGCCCCCGACGGGACGGAGCTCCTTGTCTTACTGGAGGGACGTGGGAAAGAAATCGGGCTACTCACATGAGCATAAAATGTGCTTTATCTTATGTGGGACCTGTCAAACCACACCGCAGCTGTAAGCTAGGGCAGGGCAGATATTTCACTAGTCTGTTTCCCCATCGGTAAATACCGGTTATGCAGGCAACGTTTAAGCATCAAACATATACCATGTGTGTGCTAAGGGCTGAACACTGGCAGAAGTGCCTGAGGGATGAAGACCAGAGAGAGCCCGGTCCGGGTTCTCCTCGCTACCTGGCTGGTCCTTCTGCCTGTAGACCATTTCATAACATGACATTGCAGAGCAAGTGAGAACAGTTCTCCACCCAAAGGAAGCAGGGGATCTGGTTCCGGATCCCAGCTCTGCCACAGGCTGTGGGACCTCAGTATCCCTTTGTCCTCTGAACCTCAGTCTTCTTACCTGTCTAGCTTGAATGCCTAGGAGGCATTCAAGGGGGTGCCTAGAAACTCCTGGAGGGTCGGAACCACACCGCGGTCTAGCCCATCTCCACGTGCCCGGCACACGCTAGGTGCACCATCCATAACCGCGTTTTGAATGAAGGAGTTAACAGATGTGGAATTACTGTCAAAGCTATACGTTAAGCACTGTATGTACAGAAGACGCTTCCAGCTCAGCAACATCCTGAGTGTTAGAGAGGCAGTTTAAGGGTTGAGTGACATAGGAGCAGAGACTTATCATTTTAAAATAACAATACGTGACACATCATGGGTGATTAAAAAGGATTTTTGAACCAAGGAACGTGAACAATGCCTGCGTGGAAGGCTGCGGTCTTGCTGGCGCAGGAAGCTTGTTAACGTGCTGCAGAATACCGGCTGAGAAGCTGAGGATCTGGCCTTGGGCCCAGCCCTTGAATTGGAGGACTTGATTTCCTTATGGTTTTAAAATGATAGTCATCATAGCTATTCTTATCCTCCTGAGTTATTGCAAGGGTCAACATTAAGTGAGGCGTAAAAACCCTTGTACCGCAAGGTTCTGTGTTGTTTTAAAAAAGATGACAGATAACTTTTTCTGGTGCACGCAAAAAGAAAGACAATTATTATTATTAATCCAGTTTGGAAAATGAGACTGCTGATCCTCAAAGAGAGGTTACATTTACTCAAGAGTCTCTCCCTCCCTTACGCGGGAGTTATAAATAGCAAAGTCAGGCGAGGTTGCGACTTTCCGCTAGGCTCTCTGACAGGAGGAGGCGAGCAAGCCATGTTCTACTTCACTTAATACATCATCGTAAGACATCTTGAACAGCGTCGGGTACTGATGACATTCTTAGGAAGTAAAGGGAACCAACATTTACACAGCACCTACTAGGTACCTTCGCATCACTTCTAGAAGCAGATGACGTAGCATCCCTCATTTTATAGCCCAGGAGATTGAGATACAAAACTTATGTACTTCGCCAAAGGCCACAAAACAGCTCAAGGATTAGGCCCCAGACGCCTGGTCTGTCCCAGTGATAAGGTCTGCCTGCCTCGTTCCACAAGATGGAACGGATGAAAATCTGAGACCACCCTGGGCCAAGCTGAAGAATAAGAAACACTGCAATCTACTCAGGAGGAATAGCTATGGAACACTCACTCCTAGGCTCTGAAAACACAAAGAGGAGCCTGGATCCTAATCACAGCTCCTTAAAAGCCCAGCCTTATCTTCAGGCCCAAGAGCTTATCTCTCCTTAAGCAAACTGAGGCTCAGCTGACTGGCAAAGCAAGAGAGGAGAACAGAGGGTGATAAAATATTCATTTCCTTAAATGGTACCTTCCTGCTAATGATGGACAGAAGGGAAGATCTGAAGGTCAGAACTGTTAAAAACAAGTGTGATTTTTAGATTGTGACTTGATACCTACACAGAATCTAATCATGAAACTCTGCATCAGGATATTCTGAGCTGAAAAGAACCTTGGGATTTATTTATTTACTGTGGTCAGAGAGACCTGGCTGTGAGTGAGGGGGCCACATCTTATAGCTCTGTGACCTTGGGCAAGACACCTCATCTGTGTGAGCCCCACTGTTCTGTCTGTAAGGTGAGAATGACGGCTCAAGCCACACGGTCTTGTTGTGAGGGATAAGATATTGCATGTAGACGCCATTCACAGAGCCGGCCCACAGTCAGCACTCGATAAATGTTAAGTAGCTACAGATCACACGTGCATGCACCCACGCGTGCGTGCATACACGCACGTGCGCACACACACACCACTTCTAAGAGTCTCGTTTGCCCCGTAAAGCAAGCCCAACATGGTTCTCTAAAGAGTCACTGACCTGTGGTGAGGCATGAGTCACAAAAAGCAGCAAAGGGCCCGCCGAGACTCTTCAGTCTTAGCTGCTCATTTTACAGATGAGTACACTGAGGCTCGGAGACAGAAAGGAACTCAACAAGCCAGATGAATGGCTGAGTTGGTACCTGGACTAAGATCCTGAATCCACACACTGTGTGACCCAGGATAGAGTCTCTTCTGTACATCCTTCACACGATCTTGCTTCATTCTCATGCCAAGTGTGAGTTACGGAGAAATTACTCCCCTACCTTACCACTGGGAAAAGGGAATCTCAGAGAGATCTGGGATTCTACCACTACCACTCAGCCAAAGTTAGGTGGTGATGCAGCCAGAACCAGAGCCCAGTTCTCTGCCAGCCTAGACCAATTCTTCCTGCACACAGGATGTCCCACACTCCCAGCAGTACCCCCACAGGGCACAGTGGGAGCCCTGCCGACTACCGCTCAGTCGGAATTCAGAAACCTTGTGCTGAAAAGCTTAATTTTGTCTTGAAAAGTGTTTTTTCTTCAGAGCATGACTGGTTAATGTCTCCTTTGGCCCCATATTGGCCCCCCCCATACCACAAGATCATTGTAATTTAAAATCTGAACACCGAGAACAAATATGCAAGTTCTCTGTGTAAAGATTGGAAACTTTGTGAGCGATGATTTTAAATAAAACTTCAGAGCGCAACCTCCCACTTGCATCCAATCCAGACAGGTCCAGTGGATAGAAATACTTTGATTATTACTCCATGGGACTGGCTTAAGCCCACTTGTTGGTAGAGCTGATGTGATACTTCGGTCATTCAGAATTCTGTGCATTAGACAGAAATTGAAAATCTGTTTTACTTTTATTATACAAGTAATGCATGCCCAAGGCAGAAAAGCAGACCGCACAACTGAGTAAATTAAGAAAATTAAAATCACTTATTAAATAAATTTTTTCCTTCTTCCATAATGTTTATATTTCAAATTCAGGCTAAAATTCTAATTAGTGAAAAATTGGATGTTGTCATATCTGTTTGATGTGTTGCTATGGTGCAATTTCTCAAGCTCTTTGATGGAAAAGCATGGGGGAGGATGTGTGAGTTTTGTCTTCACTCACAATGGGTCTGATCTCAGCTCTAAATAGCTATACAGTCCCCTGGAAGCTACTCAACGTCTCTGAGTCTCAGTTTCCCCTTGTAAAAGCAGGATTAAATACCTACTTCATAGCATGTTTGTCAGAATTACATGAATCACAAAGTGTGTGCAGTGCTCTTCCCATGAGCAGACATTTAAGAATATTAATTTACCTTCCCTTTAGGAGGGTGAAGGCTTGAGCTGTACTTTCTTCTATTCAGTTAATATTCCCAGTGCTGTTTTGCAACAGCGTTTTGAATTTGTCCTTGATTTTCAGGAGTGCAGTTGGCTTTTTAAAGAAATTTGATAAGCACCTTCTTTGGAGAAATAAAGGACCCTTCTGGATTACTTTATCCCCGTGGAATGTTTGATTCTTGAGTCCATTGAAAATAGTTAAGATCCATTAACAATTAAAACACCGCACTCAACGGGCGATTGAACATTTCTACAACAAGGCGTGGAAACTACTGGTCAATCGGTAAAAGCCAACTCAGAGGAAGGTATTTGACCAAGCCTGGATGACCTAGAGCGTGGAGAGACCCTGTGAGGTGCGTGCCCCAGGTTCTGTGGACTTGTCCGCGCAACGGAAGGAGGCAGTGGTGCAATGGAAAGAGAGAGAAGCGATTTTATACCTGATAAATGTTTTCTTCCGTTTCAGGATCACGGATTGGCTCGTGTCCAGCCTCAAACACAATGTACTATTATGGTGCGGCCAGAGAGGAAAGATCAGAGGGGAAGAGAGAGAGGGAAAAAAAGGCATTTGGAATTTAGGATACAAATCACAGTGAGCATTAAAGAAAACAGTTGCAGCAGAAAACACCTTCAAGAGACAAGGGGATCACTGAAACACTGCACGTGCCTTGCACACTCCTGCCTTTTCTAAGGAAGACCGTGAGGGTTTGATGGCTGTGAGAGTGTGGGACCCCCCGTATCTTTCTGGAGACGTGGCCTCTTCATGCGATGGCATTTGCTCTCAGTAATGTCTGCATGTGCCACGCTGCTGAGGGCAAATGACATCTCCCGGGAACATCTAGTGGCCCAGCTTGGTAATCCAGGTAACAGCGATTGCCCCCCTTTGCTTCCCTCAAGCCCAATGTCCTCACTTGGCCCGGAAGTGCTTACAAACCACAAACCTCCTCATCCCATAGATACCACCTGATTTTACATTCTGAGTCTTAAATATTGAAAATCAGTTGCTTTTTTTTTTTTTCCTGTGCATGTTTCAGACTCGAAAGGACCGGGCCATTTCAAACAGGGCAATATTCTTCATTCTCTGTGAGTCAGCTAGCCAGGGGCCAAGCTCATATTCTAGACAAATCCTCGCCCTCAGCATTCTAGAGGGAGGGCATGCTGTTAGGCGCATCTTTGGCTTTTGTTAAAAGCCACATAGGCTAGATACTTCTACTTCAAGCTATTCATATTATATTACTTATTTTATCCATATTATTTTATTTTTGTCACAGCTGTACCAGCTTTCTGTGTGGAAATAGGCACTGAACAACAATGCATGTATGAGACACACACACACACACACACACACACACACACACACACACACCCAGGTGTGTCCGGTTAGAAACAGAAGTTTTAGGTTTTATGTCCAACAAGTTCATGTTTTTGGCTTTCTCTCCTTGGGAATAAGCATGAGTGGGTTTGGGGTTGGTGGTGGGAGGCCCCCTCTTCCCTCCTCCTCTCTGCATCTGTTTGTACAGAGCACATACTTGGATCCAAGAGAAGTCATCTTTCTGGCCCCACCTGGGCTGTGACCCTGCAGAGGGTTCAGGGAAATCTATAGGCTAGGACGTCTCTGGGGTCTCCTTCACCCTCCTCCCAACAGTGCCCACGGCACGAGCTGGCTCATCAGAGGGGCCAGAGACTTGCTCCCACAGCCTTCCCAAAACCTACAAACTGCCCTGCTTGTACTCCAAAGTTGCCAAAACTCAGTCCCCAGCCTCGGTTCCTCACTCAGAGAGGCCTCCTCATGAACTTGGAATATTCAAGAGACTCCTGAAAACATCCAGCTCTGGGATCACATATTTATAGACTGTGGAGGGGCCGAGGCAGGGGTGAGAAGGGAGAAGCGCATCTCCAGATCTCATGTAACGGATGTCAGCCAAACATCTGTTTTTCATGGAAACGCAGCCCTCACCCTGGGAACTAATCTTCGTCCCTCTCCAGGCTCTGCAGCCAGGGGCTCTTCAGGGGCTCTGACAAAGTGTCTACAGCAAGGGCCTCGCCATTCCTGACCCTAAAAACCCCGATGGCTTCCAGAAATTACCTGGTATACAGGATCTTCAACATCCTCTTCCAAAATTGTCTACAGCAGAGCGAGAGAAGGGAGGTTGAGAAGCAGAGGATATAAATAAAGGGAGAGGTATGAGACTGTATTCAGAAATTACAGGACAGTGAAGAAACCAGCTCTGGAGAGGAGAGGCTGCTGGGTCATTTCAGGTATCAAAAAACCCACAAAGGAAAAATAAGCCACCTTGTAGCCACCCCCACCCCCACCCTTAACAACAGCAAAAGCAATTGTGTCTCTTCTGTTCTCCTCCCCTGGAAATCTTCTTTGGAATTTAAAATTTCACTTTCTCTAGCATGTCCAGGATTTCAGAGAATAAAAGATCATCTCTAACTGTGAGCTTGCTTTCGGTGCCTGTAATTTACACGGGAACCTTTCATCTTTGTTTATTTCTACTTGGCAGCAGGAGCACAAGCCCTGACTGTCAGTTTTTGCCTCTGCTGATTTTGAGGCCCAGTCTTCTCTGGCCCTCAGAGAAATTCACAGCTATACCTGATACACAGCTTGTTCGCACTGCTTATCTTTTTGGGCCTTTTTTTCCAACTCTTCTCTTTGCTTCAATTCATAAATAAGCTGAAAGAGATCTCTCAAGTCCAGAATAACAGGTTCAGCCTGGAGTAAAAGGGGGCAGAAAGTGCATTAGTAGGGGAACCGTCCTGAGCCAGAGCAGCCTGTTTCTGTTTTTTGCCAGCTACAACCCACAGCCCTTCCTGTTCCTATGAAACTGAAAGCATTCCATCTTTAATTAATTCTACCTTGTTTATATTGGTTTAGCAAACTGCATCGAGGCTAAAGTTCATTTCTTCAACTAATTATATTTGCAAATCCATAATAATCGTAAGCATAAAAGGCACTGCTTTTATTTATTAGTAATTTTGAATACAATAAAATTAGGGCAGGCCTTATGCAAAACAGCTATTTGTTTTCTCTTATTTTCTTTTTAAATGAAGCTATGAACACAAGGAAACTTGTTTGTATAGTGGTGCCTCCACCCAGCTTAATCAGAAAGGAAAATAATTAGTCATTATGAAATACACATTAGAAAAAACAAGAAGAAGACCGGATGGGCCTGAGTCCCCATTTCCTTGCTCTGAGGCTATTTATGCTCTGGAGATGGGGGCCTGAGCATCAGCATGGTCTCGTCCTACATCAGAGGCGGGCTTCAAAGACCGACAGCGTGACCGGACGCACTGTCCCCTAAAGCTACTAGGAGAGGCGCCCTCCTCGGATGGGGATACTCACCGCCTGGGCTGTTTTTATGGCAACAAATCTGTGATTCCCTTCCTTCCCACAAACGTATCCAAAGGCCCGGTGATCTGTGATGTCCTTTGCAATGTAGGAAATTTCGTGAACAGCATGATGATGCTGAAGGGCCTAGTGGAGACAAAAGGAAGAGCATATTTCACGGGACTTTCCCTTCGAGCTGTTGATCAATAGGAGATGTGTTTCAGCTACGTGTGAACAGGCCCGAAGGGCTTTGGAAAAAGCTGTTGGGTCCAGATGGAAGGAAAAAGAGCCGCGCCTGCCCTTGAGAGATGGGGGCTTCCCTCCAGGGTCTTAGTGCTGTGACCGGAGAGAAAAACAGGACTGCTCATATCCTGAAGGCGAATCTGTGGCAGTGGCTTCCCTCAGCTTGCCAGGGCCAGTCAGGATAATTCAGTGGGGCAGGCTCCTGTTGTAGCTCGCTTCAGGACACGGCCCAGGCAAAGCTGTGGTGTGATATTTGATACACTCCCACACCCAGGGCCTCTGCGCGCTGTGCTGGAAGAGTAGCACACTGTACGGATAACTGGGGTGCCGTTCAAAGTCACAGAACTGTAAACATGTATGGGTGCCACCCTCTCTTGACAGATGGTGATAGGGTCTTAAGGAACGAACACCTTTTTTCTATCTTATCCAGAGTCACCATCTGGGCTAGAGGTGGACTCCCTTAGTTCTGAGACTTTTCATGGGCTGGTTGCTCTGTGTGCAATGCCCATTCTTTTACCCATTTGCCTGAATCCTAGTCCCTTTTCAAAGGACATTTGAGGGGTGCCCGGGTGGCTCAGTGGGTTGAGCAGCTGCCTTTGGCTCAAGTCGGGATCCCAGGGTCCTGGGATCGAGCCCTCCTCGGGCTCCCTGCTCAGTGGGGGTCTGCTTCTCCCTTTCCCTCTGCTCACCTCTTTCTCTCTCTCTCAAAGAAATAAAATCTTTAAAAAAAGACATCTGAATAGCACCACCTCTGCGAAACCTCCCCTGAACAAGGCTTGCTTTCCCTCCCCCTGCAGAAATAATTTCATAGAACTTTAGTCTCTACTGATATCCAAATTCCTAATTGATTCCTCTCACACAGCCCCCTGCGCTCTTGCTTTCAAAGACCTTCCTTCTCTGACAGATTTGCCTGATTCCTGGTCAGCCTTCCCCACCAGGCTCCATCTTCCTCAACTCTGTCACCCTAGAACCTTGCGCTGTGCTTGACCCACAGTTGCTGAACTCAAGGGTAAATTGGGATAGTTGACCAAAAACCTTTTGAAACTGATCTTTCTTTATCACCTAAGCCTCAACAAATGCTCGCCATCTTGTTGGCGATCATCATCTTTATGACCATTTTCCTGTATTAAACCTACTTACAGCCACCCTCAGTAAACAGTACTCTGCATAAAGGCTTACATAGGCAGCTGGGCACTAAATGATGTGCTTCAAGTCCTCATATAAGGGGCCTTTTTATTATAGTAAGTATTAAGGGGCTTGAATTCTAGCCACCGTGTGAGCACAAGGCACTCACTGCACCTCTCTGGACCTTTGTCTAGTCTTCTATCCAATGAGAAGTTTGTAACAGATCAATGGCTCCTAACCCAAATCCCAGGATCTCCTTGGGTCATTAAAGGTAATAAAAAGAAGTCCTAAGCAATTTTCAACATTTCAAAAAGCGAAACAGAAATTTATAACTATCCTTAATTGAGACAACACATTTCATTGTGCATGCAAATGAAAATGCCAAGTTTAGAACTGTATCAGGTTACTGTTGTACTCCTTAGTTTATCTTTGAGAGGCTTCTCTTTAGCATTTAGTTTGGGTTTGAATAATTCAAATGGGAAAGTGAATGACTGTAAATACATTTTTTTGGTGGACAAAACTCTTTGCCACTAATGAGTCCATGGAGGGAGGGAGACATGTAACACAAAGGGGACTTAATTATGAAAGTGGTGGGACTCACAGGAGTAGATGTTCTGGAGCGTCTTGTTCCGTCACCCCAGATCCTTTAGCCATGAGGACCTTGAACCACACAGCCAGCCTCTCAGGTCAGTGGGCACGTGGCTCTCGTGATAGCCAGCACCTTAGTTCTGGACCCCTGGCCCTGACCTTCCAAAATGCCCATTCCTAGACTGCTGCCATCCTTCTAGGCTTCTAACCTCACGAATCATTTCTGCCCTAGAATTTGCTGCTGCATCTTAACCTCTCTGACTACTCTTGGGACCCTCTCTTCGGGTTCATCATGCCTTGTCACGTTGCCCACTGCCCACTGGACATCATGCTTGGAGGGTGGTGTCCCCGCCTGGTCACCCGCGCCCCTAATCGGCCATAAGACAACTGTATAATTCTCACGAATCCCGACCCAAATAAAGTTGGTGAGGAAGGGAATGTTTGTTAGTAAAAGACTCAGAACCCATTTATTCTTGTTTTATTAAGAGGACATACTTAGCTGGTGGAGGAAAGCTGCTCAAAGGGTGGTGGCTTCTTCATGGTGTTAATGATGTAAAACTGATGAGATTTATATTCACGCAACATGGGGGTATTGATTGATAGGCTTTTGTGAACTAGAGTGGTATGCAGTAGGGGAAAGTGCGAGACAAAGACATCCTCCTTCTCCCCCCTTTCCAGAAAGTATTTCTCTCTCTGCATAATGTGGACAATGTTATCCGTGTCTCCTATTAAATCAAAGTTTGACGACAGCAGCTTATTGATTGCCAAGTGGAATATTGCTCTAAAATTAAACTGTGATTAGAAGTCTTCCTCGCGGAATGAGATTTGGAGATGATTGTGCAAGGGTAAAATATCACCTACTATGCAAGACCAGCAGATGGAGATGCTTTAATTTATCTGGGAATCCTCATTAAGTGTTTTAGAATCAAAACATTTTCCTAATATTGCCTCGCCAAGTGTAGCTCTGTGCGTACCTGAAGTGCCTAAAGATATCTGTAACATTATCTTTTCCCATAGGTAATTTTATGACATGTTGAAAAGGATTCCTGTGAAAGTGGCTCATTTATTTGGAAACGAAGAATCATTGAGGGGCTATGTCTCTACTTTCTCCAACCTCAACTGTGCAGACATAATACAGATACACCAGAATCCCAATAACCCCTACGGTCGTATTACTGCATTTATCTTGGCAACTCAGAGAATCTTGCAAATACTTGTTCACTGAGGCTCAAAACTGCTCCATGTTTTCAAGGAGATTTTATCAGCACCATCAAAGCCAGAGGAACCTTAAGCATCATATTGTTCAACTGTGTTTATGAAAATACTGAGGGTCAGAGAGTTCTGGAGGGACCAGTCCTAAATGCAGCCCTCACTTTCCCTATAAAGGATGACAAAGCAAGATGATGTAGGATCGGTGCCTCCATGGCTTAGATTCCTGCCTCCCTAGTCCAGCAACAAAGCCATGACCCCTGAGGGGCTGGGATGAGGACGGGGAGAGCTGGCCAGGAGCCAGAGCCGAAGCTGTTCTGGCTTCTGGGAGGTATCGGAGGTCAGAGAGAGGTCATAATCAGAAGGTTTGGGGTAAAGGCCAGTTTGCTATAAGGATCTCAAAGAAAAAGGTCAAGACAGCATGCTCTGGGGGTGAACGCTTGGGAGCTTGTGGGTTTCTGTGGTGTCTGCTGAGAAGTCAGGCTGGAAAGGTGTGGTGAGGCCCTTCATCATGGGAAATGAAGATGACTTCATCCCAGGAGTGTTTCTGCAGGGACTTCCTGGGGCAGCATAAGTTGTTCTGGAAGGGGGAAAGAATAACTGGGCCAGAAGGGGAGGGAGAGGGGAGAGGAAGGGCAGAGTCTGGTCATCCTTCTTCCTTTGGAAAACAGGTTTTTTTGTTTGTTTATTTGTTTTAGAAAAACAGTCATTAAAGTACTGCCAAAAATCAAAGCAGGTATTTGGTTTTGGAAACAGTCTTCAACAACACCCTATTTGTCTGCCACAGCCTATTCTGTCTCTCTCATTCTGAACCTTCCTCGTTATACTGGGCATGAAAGTTGTTACTGAAGAATTCTGAAGACAGACTGCAGATCAGCCTCCTCAGTCCCGTCTGACCTTCCTCCCACCATTGAACTTCAGGTGACCCAGGCTGCGAACAGTCTGAAAAGCCCATCACTGCCCCTCTGGGTTCTGTACTTCCCCCACCTCTGTGCCACTATTCACAATGTTTTCTCTGCCAATTGCCCTCTTCATCCCCTCGCCCATGCTTTCGTGACTCCGCGTAACTAAATCATACATATGCTTGAAGGCTAGCTCCAACAGCATGCTCATCCGAGGAAACTTCCCTGACTCCCCATTTCCCTTTGTGATAATTTTCGTCCCAGATCTCACTGCACTGTATTTATTCTTCTATCTAGGATGCCTCACGTGTCTTCGTCTTGTTTTACATTCACGCCTTCATCCAGTTATTCATACCACGTGTACTTACTGAGTAGCTGGTTGGGTGCCCGGTCTCATGCTCAGCACTACATCCACCCAGATATTATAACATAGGTCCTTCCTCTAGAACCTTGCAATCTCATAAGAACAGGCAGGCAAAGAAACCAACAAGCACAATATATAATAAGAAGAGCTTATATTAAAGGTGTGCAGGGATGGGGAAGGAGCATCAGGGAAGACTTGACAAAGGAGCTGGCCTTGAACTGAATCTCGAAGGTGAAGGGGAAGTCTCCAGAAAATCAGGGAAAGGTCATTCTAGAGAGAAAGAACTAAGACACAGAGGCCTCTACAGCCTGAGAACAGGACATCTGGAGAACGTATCTCTGCACCTATTTTCTCTCTCCTTTGGGGATGTTACCTTCTTGAGAGAAAGATCCACGTCTGATTCCCTAGGCTGAGCTAGGAATCCCAGCTCCTAATACTGTTCCTTTTGAACAGTAAGTGCTAAATAAAGTTTGATGAGTGAAAGAAGGAAGGAAGGAAGAACCAAGCTGTCTGCCGGCATGCACTACACAAGGTAGTTGCTCAATAAATGCTCAGTGAATGATGGCATCAGGTTAATTCATGACATTTCACAGAGGATTCATTCTGTGAACAGAGGCTTTCTTATCTGATCATCATTAAATCTTTTTCTTTTTTTTCCTTAGCATCTCCATGAGCCATTTACCAATGTTTAAATGAGGTATCAAATTGTTTGGAGG